TCCAGGTTTAGTTCTCTATTCAAACCTATATAGTTGTGTCTTTGTTTGCAAAAATGTATTTTTAATTTGTGATGACTTTGAAGATGTAATTTCAAAGTGAATATGAGAGAAAGCTGGTTAGTTTACATTCGTTATTGGCTGAAGGGTCAACGGGATGTGTCCTTGAGCATGGCTCCACAACAAGACTCTCCACTTTTGCAACTAGAAATGACATGTTAATTTGTAGGAGTTTGTCACTATTGTTCGTTATTAAATTACTCATGTCGTCTTGTCACTGACATAGCTAATTCTGAACCAGTTTTGGTTAAGCTTAATGGATGCTGCATTCCTTGCACTAATATAATATATATAAATAATGAATTAACGTTTCTGTTTTGTCGTTTCAGATTCTCGTTTTCAAATGTTATGCCGGGCGACTACAAAATCAAAGCATCCCATCCGTCATGGCAGTTCAGCAAGGTGAGATAGCTGTAACAGTCTCTCTGACTTCTCTATGTTTATCAGCTTGCAGGGGCAGCAACATTGGCTCTCTCTGGTTACAACAACATTGGCTCTCTCTGGTTACAACAACATTGGCTCTCTCTGGTTACAACAACATTGGCTCTCTTTGGTTACAACAACATTGGCTCTCTTTGGTTACAACAACATTGGCTCTCTTTGGTTACAACAACATTGGCTCTCTTTGGTTACAACAACATGGGCTCTCTTTGGTTACAACATTGGCTCTCTTTGGTTACAACAACATGGGCTCTCTTTGGTTACAACAACATTGGCTCTCTTTGGTTACAACAACATTGGCTCTCTTTGGTTACAACAACATTGGCTCTCTTTGGTTACAACAACATGGGCTCTCTTTGGTTACAACAACATTGGCTCTCTTTGGTTACAACAACATGGGCTCTCTTTGGTTACAACAACATTGGCTCTCTTTGGTTACAACAACATTGGCTCTCTTTGGTTACAACAACATGGGCTCTCTTTGGTTACAACAACATTGGCTCTCTTTGGTTATAACAACATTGGCTCTCTCTGGTTACAACAACATTGGCTCTCTTTGGTTACAACAACATGGGCTCTCTTTGGTTACAACAACATTGGCTCTCTTTGGTTACAACAACATTGGCTCTCTTTGGTTACAACAACATGGGCTCTCTTTGGTTACAACAACGTTGGCTCTCTCTGGTTACAACAACATTGGCTCTCTTTGGTTATAACAACATTGGCTCTCTCTGGTTACAACAACATTGGCTCTCTTTGGTTACAACAACATGGGCTCTCTTTGGTTACAACAACATTGGCTCTCTTTGGTTACAACAACATTGGCTCTCTTTGGTTACAACAACATTGGCTCTCTTTGGTTACAACAACATTGGCTCTCTTTGGTTACAACAACATGGGCTCTCTTTGGTTACAACAACATGGGCTCTCTTTGGTTACAACAACGTTGGCTCTCTCTGGTTACAACAACATTGGCTCTCTTTGGTTATAACAACATTGGCTCTCTTTGGTTACAACAACATTGGCTCTCTTTGGTTACAACAACATTGGCTCTCTTTGGTTACAACAACATTGGCTCTCTTTGGTTACAACAACATTGCTCTCTTTGGTTACAACAACATTGGCTCTCTTTGGTTACAACAACATTGGCTCTCTTTGGTTACAACAACATTGGCTCTCTTTGGTTACAACAACATTGGCTCTCTCTGGTGACAACAACATGGGCTCTCTTTGGTTACAACAACATTGGCTCTCTTTGGTTACAACAACATTGGCTCTCTGTGGCGTCGGTGACGTAGTGGTCAGGCTCTCATGCTCGCAACTGTAAGGTCTCTTTGCTTATAATAACATTAGTGGGAAATGACTTAATAATGATAATAATAGATAGCATTTGTGTAGCGCATATTATCCCCGCTCAACAGCAGGCTCTGTGCGCTTTACACTATATTATTACCCCAGCAGACCATAGAACACTCCGAAACATTCTCAGCTTCCCGGGAAGCATACAGTGCAAGCAGCCGATTAAGCGCTCAAACTCTAACAAACTGACAAGATCTTTCGCTGTCTATAGCCGGGTACCCATTCCCACCTGGGTGAAGTGAGGAAAATTTGTGTAAAGTGCCTTTCCCAAGGACACAACATCGGGCCCTTGACGCGATTCGAACCCACGACCTTACGGTTGCGAGTCCGAGAGCCTGACCACTAGGCCACCAACGCCACTAAAGTTTAGGCAAAGCTCAGTTCAAGCAAAAAAGATTTCAAATCCTGGACAAAGATTATGAAGGAGTGACTTTGCCTCTGATGTTGCTGCAACCACAGCATGCATGGCCTAGGAAATTGTTGGGAAGCCATGTGAGCCTTTTTTGCGAAAGGGTACCTCAATTCGACGGCTATCATTTTTACTTCTTGTTTATTTATTTTGTGAGTGTGTGGAACAATTTTTTGGTATCTGATACTGATTTACATTTTTTTCTGCTGGTCAGGAGATGCGCTTCCTACTGTCTGATAATTTTCATTTTCTTTCTTTAAAAAACAGAACGAGATTCCAGTGCAGGTGAAAAACGACAATGCGAACATTGGTCCAGCTCTGACTATTGCTGGTTATGATGTGAAGGTAAGACATTAAGTTTGTCTTGGAATGATGAAGAGGATGATTCAGCAGTTTTTATTTTTGAAATGTGCTGAGTGATTGTTAAAATAAAGAAGGTTTTATGGCTCTTTAAGTCCTTTTTCAAGCCATAATAATAATAAGAATAAGAATAATGATTCTGGAACTATTGTAAACTATCGTTTATGTATACATTATGCATAAAACTGTCTTGTGTGGTTGAATCCTTAAAAAAGCACCTGAAGAGCTTTAGAATTCCATTGATTGATCGATAAAGAGGCAATATCCATCAACTGTAACATGAACTTTTCCAGAGATTGACATTTTTTTTTAGGTAAGTGTTTTACCCCACTCGCAACTGCATACGGTCATACGAGCGCGCAGGATACATTAAACATTTTCGGTAGGTAGCAAATTTTGAATTTTGTCCTGGTGGCGACTGAAGCCTACTTTGATCGATTTTAGACCACCAAGGGATCTTTAACGTGCGCAAATTGCACACAGGACCTCCGAGAGTTTACGCCCTTGTCCGAGAAGGCTAGGTGTAGATCTTTCCTACCATGAGATAAGGGGTGTTGCAGAAAGACAGCAGTAAGAAGGAGCCAAGGAGTAGCAGTAGAAAGGCTGCAGAAAGAGTCAGAAGCCCAGAGGCGGGGGCAAAGGAGGTGAGGGGATGGGGGCAGAAAGTGGAAATGAAAGCAGACGACAGAACATTGTTAGAGAGCAGGAAAGGAGACAATTTAACAGAAGAAAAATTTTTCTGTCGTTACCCGCTTTCAAACCCTGGACCTTTGAATGAGAGGCGAACACCTTGACCTCTAGGCCACAAGAGCCCCCCGGAGATTGACATCTGTGCTACGGGTCTTTTGGTTTATTATCATTGTCTGTCTTTGGGTATGACGAGAAATATTAGTGGCTCCCATTATGTGTTGGGGTTTTTTTTCACTTATCCTGGAAAGTAAGGTCAAATGGAGTTAATGATTTTTCTTGCAACGATAGCGCAATGCTTTTTGTGCGGGATGAGATGGGATAGCCTTCATCATCATGGAAGATTCTACCCCTTTTAACTTTTTGTCTTACATTTTGAGTCATGTGCACATTTCACAGTTTTTTCGCATTCACACTTCACGTTTGATTCTCCCCCAGGGACAAGTGACTGGTGATGGTCAACCAATGAAGTCGGTCAACTTTGTTCTTTTCTCTGAGTCGGGCCAAGCAAAGGTGTGTGTGTTTTCAGTGCTTTCATAGCTTTACTATTGTCTACTGTGCCATGTGTGTGTGTGTGTGTGCCTTCCCATTGAAGTGGGAAGAAATGGAATAATATCATGAGGCTAGCCCGGGATAGGAAAAGGTGGAAAGTGTTTATGGCTGTGCAAGGTGAGAAAGGCAGTGATGAATATGTTCGTGTTGCTGATAAACATTTCAAAGGCTTTTGTTCGAGGGTGTCTGGGTAAACTTTGTGGGATTGTCTTTACTCAAGGATGTACTGGAGAGAGAGAGAGAAAGAGAGAGAGACAGACAGAGTGAGAGACAGAGAGAGAGACAGACAGAGTGAGAGACAGACAGAGAGAGAGAGAGAAAGAGGATTACTATAGGAGCTGTGCGCTTCATATGTTCTTTGTATTATTGTACAGCGCATTGAGCACTTCTTTGTGGAAATGCGCTATATAAATGCAATTTATTATTATTATTATTATTGTGCAAAAGAAAGTTGAAAAAGAAATTTTTCAAAGATGCAAAGAAAAATTTTTTTTGAATGCCCTCAAGCATGTTTTTACAATCTATCAAGTCAAATGAATGGGATTTCACTTTACTCTTGATGGGAGTTTTAAAACAGTCTTTCCTTATTCTCGGGTGTCTGCCACCCCCCCGTATGTAGACTTGAACAAAATGGCATCAATTGAAAAATCTATAAATCTGACCGCATTGTTGATGTTCGGCTGATATCTCCATTCTTGGATTGCGAGAAGCAACACATTTTGTCAGCACCCCTCACGCTGGATCAACACCAACCACAACAGCATTAACCTCAAACAATAGCTTTCTATCGTTTCTTACCATAGTCTGTAATATTCCTGTCCACAGAACATTCCCCAGTGCCAGGCCGGCGCCCCTAAAGGCTTCCACACGAAGGAGACTAAACTATCACCCATATGTCATGTGACTTCTCGCGATGACGGAACTTTTGTTTTCCCCATCGTGCCCTCAGGCTCCTACTTTTTGGTAAGCTGCTCCACATTTTGTGTATGTGTGTCATGACGTGGTGGAATCAGGCGCTCGTCTATTTTTGGGCATGTAGAGTTATTGGTATCATCTTAAAGTTTGGTCATTTTGTCTTGCTTTTGATGACAAAAATATCCATTTATCTTGAATACAAGCCGAGATATTTGCAAATGAAGGAGGTGGGTTTCTGAGGTAAAATTATTGAGAAAATGGCCGTCAAAGATTAGTTATTTCCTTAGCTTGAGAGTCGATGGAAACTGAAAATTTTTATTTTTTGTACCTTTAATCAACGTTTTTCCAGTAAACTCCACTCAGAAATGTGTTTTTAACGGGCATGAATGGTGTTGAGCCAAAAAAACAGAAATTCGATAAAAATTCACAGACCTGTGGAAAAATGAGTTTCTTCACTTTGATTATTTTGAGGAGCGCCTGATTTCACCCCGCCTGGTGTGTGTGTGTGCGTGCGTGTGTGCATGTGTGTGTGTTGGTGTGCATGCGTGTGTGTGTGTGTGTGTGTGAGAGAGAGAGTGTTCACCCCTGTGGACACTGTGTATTCTTACATGAGTAAGTTGTACATCCTTGCATGTTTATCGTTGTGCATGGATATAATCGGTACATTTCTGTGTTAATGCTGAACCTTTGTGTGTTGACGGGCCTCTGGATGTCCACACGAAATTTCCTATTTCGGTCAGTAAAAGTTAATCTTGTCTTCAAATTAAGGTCTTTTGGTGAGAAAAGTGTTTCATTTTTGGCCCTAAATTCTGGAATTCCTTATCCCGGGATCTCAGAGAAATAACAAATCCTAAAGTATGTAAGCGATTACTCAAGACTCATTTGTTTAATTCTTAGTTGTAGTTGTAGTGTGTTAGTAAGTGCTGACATGTTTTGTTTTTATTACTGTCCTTACGTGTATATAATTAATGTATGGTTGTGATGGTTCTTCTTTTTTACGTGTATATAATTAATGTATGGTTGTAATGGTTCTTCTTTTTTACGTGTATATAATTAATGTTTGGTTGTAATGGTTCTTCTTTTTTACGTGTATATAATTAATGTATGGTTGTAATGGTTCTTCTTTTTTACGTGTATACAATTAATGTATGGTTGTGATGGTTCTTCTTTTTTACGTGTATACAATTAATGTATGGTTGTGATGGTTCTTCTTTTTTACGTGTATATAATTAATGTATGGTTGTAATGGTTCTTCTTTTTTACGTGTATATAATTAATGTATGGTTGTGATGCTTCTTCATGTTGTTGGACTGGGGTTTTTTTTCTTATTACTGTGAAATATTTTATCCTTATCTAGTGTAAATGAATTACTACTTTTCAGTGATCATGTGATTGATGTAAAGTGCTCAGAGCTTTATACTTGTATGGGATAGAACGCGATATAAATGCAATCTATTATTATTATTTTTTTAAAATTAATATTATTATTATTTTTATTATTATTATTATCGTATGTGTTATCTTATTGCCCTGACCTGATGAGTTTCTAGGGAAATGTGGCCATGATTGTGCCAAGTCAGCGTAAACTTGTACTCCACATCATGTATTGTCCAACACAATTTATGAAATATATGTGCTGTCTACAGATCCCGTTCTACAAAGGAGAACATATCACGTTTGACGTGGAGCCTGGGAAGCTTAACTTTGTGGTGGAACACGGATCTCTCCTTCTGAAGGTTAGCTTAGCTGCCTGTTGTTAAAATGTGTATTTTCTTTGTGTTCAAGTTTTTGAGGTGTTTGTACCGCTCGTGTTCTATATGTTTGTGATATACAGTGGAACCCCATTATAAAATCATTTTTAGTTGGGAGAGGGGGGGGGCGGGGTCGTTATTCTGGGAAACATGATGTTTGGATTCTGCTTTCTCGAAATAAAAATCTTACATTTATCTTGAGTTAATAATTTTTTAAGCAATGTCCTTGAATTTTTTTAATTTTCAAAATTTCATTTTTAATACTATTTATTTTGCTATCCGTATATATTCTACACTTCATCATGGTCACTGAAACCTTAGGCTCATTTTTGTTGTTATTTTTTATCTTTCAGGAAAAATTTGAAGTTGCCGGCTTTTCTGTCAGTGGCAAAGTATTGGACAAAGAAAATGTGAGTACTGGATGGTATAGGTTACTCGGTTCTTTTTAGATTTACAGTCAAACTCACAACTTGATCTGTGGGTGGTTGGCGGGTGCTCTGGTGTGGTTTGTTTCTTCTTTCCTATCAAACATCTATCGTCCTTATCCCCCCTTCTTCTTTTTTACGTTTGTTACTCTCTTGTAACACCTCTAATCGTCTGACGCTCATATGACCTTATGCAGTTGCGAGCGCCGTAAAACCCTCTACTAAAACTAAACTAAACCTGATCCATTGACCAGCTGTCCAGTCATCTTAAACATATCCCACTGTCTGGTAAAGAATTCTACCATTTTAAGACTTTGCCGCCTCATCTCGTCGATTGGCCATGTTTACCTCCCTGTTTCTTTGGATTTTCCCCAAAATGTGATGGTAAAGTGTTAAAAATATCAACGCTGTTCTCAGGTCTGTTTTGCACAATTTTGACCACTGTGGATGGCCTGACAAAAGATGGAAATGTTTCGATTCATGGAAAGTATTTATTATTGACTTTACACAAATAACCAGTGTCTTGTTTGAAGACAAGATTTTGAATTGTGAAATCTGCATGACTTTCTCTCAGTTTCCATTATCCTGCCGACTTACCACAGACTAGTTGTGAGCCGTTCCCGATTATTGCAAACTAGTAATTGTAGGAATCGAGTCCAGACCCAATTTCTTTCCACTGATGTGATTCCTTCCGGGTGTCCATGATTTCTTCCAGTGGTTCCGACCCTAGACATGGTTACTTCCGGCAAGTAGCAATTACTTCCGATGAATCCAACACCTAGCCTGTTCCAGTTGTTGTTGTTGTTGTTGTTATTGATATCGATCCAGCAACAGCTGGGCTCTCGCCCTTCTGTCCAGTGCCATGTAGTGATAAGTGCAGCCCTTCTGTCCAATGCCATGTTGTGATAAGTGCAGCCCTTCTGTCCAATGCCATGTAGTGATAAGTGCAGCCCTTCTGTCCAGTGCCATGTAGTGATAAGTGCAGCCCTTCTGTCCAATGCCATGTAGTGATAAGTGCAGCCCTTCTGTCCAGTGCCATGTAGTGATAAGTGCAGCCCTTCTGTCC